ATGCAGATCTGGGCTATGTGGCAATGGTATGCAGAGGTATTCTGATGGACACTATTCGGGCTGCCAGGAATGCCAAGGTGTTCAAGGGTGAAGGACATACAATACACAAGCAGCAACATCAGATCCGGAACAAGCTTCGCCAGGTCATCAAAGCTGATTGGAACAGAAAACATTTTGTCTGGTTCCTGAAAACCTGGGTTAAAGGCAAAAAGTTAGCTTCGATGAACCAGGAAGGGAGACTTTCCATCTGCTCCTGGCTATCGGATACTCATGACTAGGATGAGCAAGGTGTAGACAAAGTATAAAACATGGAGCTCTGTTGTAATCCCTGACTGACACTTAGGAGCCATTGTAGGCTCGCTACTGTAATGGCCCGTGTTAGGCCTGCTTAAGAGGTAGCCTCTTTTTTTAGGAGAATAAGGGTCGTTTTGACCACAGTAAGACTGCAACCATTTTCATGAGCTTCATGGTACATTTGGAGAGTTGCTTTTTCGCCTACTGAGAGACAGGGATGCTGAACCCGGTTTTCAGCATTGGGTTACTCCGGGTTGAATTGTGAGGTCCCCGCCCTCCCATGGTTATTACTTTTGAATGCAATGTTTCAACTTTCAAAAAAAAAAAAAAAAAAGTATTTTTCTGATTCTTAAGTTGAACCTCAGTGACCTGAAGAGGTCATTTGGCCTTGCCCATTATGGAATGTTTTTTGAGATTGGATAGGTTGTAGGGCCTGAGTACCCATCATTGATCATAATAGATGACTAGCTAAGCGCCCGTGGTGCGGGCGGTGCGGGCTATGCCCGTAGAAATAACAAATGTTGTAGGCAACCTCACACAGGCCACTCGCATAAACTCAGACGGACTTAAAAAAAAAAAAAAAAAACAACGAACCACAGGGTAATAAAGAATAGCCTAAAACTGGCTACGAATTCTGAGCTTAATCGACGAATTAAAAAAGTGACCGATTGAAAAATCACAAAAAAAAAAGGAGGAGAAAGGGCGAGGAGAGGCAAAGACAGACAAAGAGAGAGGGAAAAAAAGAAAAAGATAAAGACAGAGAGAGAGAGAGAGAGATGGAGAGGAACAAAGAAATGGCGAGAGGGGAAGGAGGGATGTGGAGGTGATGAAGGGAAAGGAGGGATGCGGAGGGGATGAAGGGAAAGGAGGGATGCGGAGGCCCACGCGTTTCTTTAAGCCTCTCAGTGCGTCCATTTTTTTTCATTTTTTCTTTCCAGATGTTGTGTGTCTGTGTTCGTATGTGTACTCTCTCTCTCTCTCTCTCTCTCTCTCTCTCTCTCTCTCTCTCTCTCTCTCTCTCTCTCTCTCTCTCTCTTCCAACTTCACAGATTTAGCTCCTCACTACGTTTGACTTTCTCATTGAAAGCTCCGTAATCGCGAGTTTTTTTTCGTTTTTTTTGGCCATTGTAGCGGACCTCGGGTTGGCCTGTGAGACCAGCCCCTTGGCCTGTTCTCACAGGCCTGTGTTGTATTCGGGGTAGGCCAGTCCAGGCCGGTACCTCTGTCGGTACCAGCCAGTCCAGTCCAGTCCCGTCAGTCCGCTGGGGTATACCCCAGCCATTGTCTGTTTTCATGCGCATTCTTCACTTGCACATTTTGGAGTACGTGCGTTGGAGTCTTGCGTGGGGAGCTGCGTTGTGCCATCTCGCTCCCCCCCCTTCTTCCTCCATATCCATCTCTGTTATTAGCGGAGCACCACACCTGGTGGGTACGCTACATTGGCATCGGAGCGGGAACGTTCCCCGCTCCCACCCACCACCCCGTACAGCTGTGCAGGCATACAGCTGAGGAAAACAGCAATATCCGACATCGGGTTTTTTCGCAGTTTTCGTGCGTTTTCAGTGAAAACGCAGGGGAAAAGCGGCGCGTGCAGGAGGTGCCACGTGGCGAAAAAGAGAGGCACCACGACGAGCGCGTGCGCCCAAGCGCCAAGGCCGAGGCCGCCGCACGCGCGCGCACGCCATACGCTGCCCCGCTGCCCCACCCCGCCCCGCTCCCGGATTTATCTTATCAAGATCCGGGAGTTTCTGCTGCCGCTGGGGTTTGAAACCAGGCACCTGCCGAGCCATGCGGGTGCGTAAGCAGCCTCATAACACACTCGCCACAGTGTGTCCATGGCTCTGTAGCACGGCACACTCGTGTTGAAGAGGTGCCGTGCTGGCTATTTACCCCCCCCCCCCCAATGCTTGCTATTTTACTTTCTTGATTAGGTCATCGGTACCCTACCCTAGCCACTTAAACCTCGGTTAGGGTTTTCTTAGGGTTTTTGTAGGGTTTAGGGTTCCTCAAAACCCTCCTACTTCCCCGTCCTCTTCGGGCACCCTGGACCCAAACCATCCCTCCCCCTTTGACGACGCCCGTGCTAGCCTTGCTAGCGCCGTTCGCCGCTTTCTACCGTGGACTTCCCCCTACGCCCTCCGCTCACGCGGACCTCTTCTGGCCCCCTCCAGTCCGGTCCGTCATCTCCCCATGGCCGACGGTGCGTCACACGCCGCCGACACGGCGATGACCACGGCATCGGGCTCCACACCCGTGCCGGCGGACTAGGGCCATCAGCCTCAGGGGGATCTACACACCCTCCTCACCTCCCTCCATGCGCCCATCCAGGCGCAACTCGCGACCCTTGCGCCCATCCAGGCGCAACTCGCGAGCCTCGCGCCCTTACAGGCGCAGGTGGCGACTCTTGCCGCCGGCATGCAGCAACTCTAGGACGTTGCGTGTCCGTCATCTCATAGCTCCCAGTCCGGGTCCCCCGTCCTCCGACAGGGTGGCCACGGCGGAGCCTCCTCCTCCGTTGCCCCTGACCCGGTCATCTCGGTGACTGTCCACGCCCCTAGCACGACGGCCGCCACGAGCCAGGCCCCCCCTCAGTCTACGGGCGCACCCGCCCAGATCCCGGTCCCTACGACCACGGTACAACAACCCGCTACCATGGTCTCAGCTTTTCAAGGTGCCCCGCTCCTCCCTCCCCTTCGCACGACCGCAGTGCCACCTGGCTCTCCCCCCTCTGGGATGCCCCGCGCCGCTTGTGCATCCACCCCCTCCACTCTTCCTCCTGCCACCCCTCGATCGACCTACGTTCGAGGTCTCGCGGACGAGATTGTCCAGCTCCGGGCCGACCTCGCCCTCTTACGCCTTCAGCCACCCCCACCCTCACAGGTGGCCGTGCCTTCGGGCGCACCCCCTACCTCCTCTACCCTTCCTCCCATGCAGGCTCGCTTTCCGCGCCCTGCATCCTATACAACTCCTTCCTACCTTCTTCCTACTCCCGCGGTTGCTGCGACCTCTTCTACCGCAGCACCCTCGCAACCTGCCGCTGTTGCCACCGCCGCTCCCCCATGCGGCCCGGGCGCACAGTCAGCTGTGCCCCTTTCTCCAGGACCTTCGCCGACTTACTCAGTCGTGGCACAGGCCTCCGCTCCTCGATCCCCTCGCCGCCAAAACGGTGGCGCACCACTTATCCGCTTGTCGAACATTGGCTTGTATGACGGTACAGGCATACGTGTGTCTCGGTGGCTGCAAACTGCCACCCGCACACTCCAGCTCATGGGCGCCACACCCGAGACGTGGGTGGGTCACCTCTCCACGCGCCTGCGTGGCGGTCCTTTCGAGGCCTTGGAGGATTTCTATGCCTACTCCCTTCGTGAGCGTCGGATTCCGACCTTCGTGGATTTCCAGGCGTTCCTCGAGGATCGCTTCGGAGCCCGATACGACGTGACTGACGCCTTCGAGCGTGTCGTCACTACACGCTGGTCCGGCTCTGGTGGCGCTGCTGGCCTGGATCACCACATCCAGGTCTTTCAGGACGCCCGCCTCGTTTGCGACGTGGCGTTCCTCCCCGAGGCTGCCCTTATCGATCGTTTCTTGGCCAGCCTTCCGCTCGAGTACCGCTCCGAGCTATGGCGGTACGAGTTCACATCGGCCCCACAGGCTTACGAGGCCGCCAGGGACCATCAGCGGATGCGAGCCCATCTTCACCCCGCCTCCTCCTCCCAGCCCCAGCGCACGGGCTACGCCTCCTCCTCCTCTCACGGCACTTCCCAGCGCCGTTCCCCTTTCCGCGGTCGCCCCCGCCGTTCCACGCAACAGGGCCGCCACTTCTCGCGCCGTTTCAGCGCGCTGGAGTATGGTGAGCAGGACGTTGTTGCCCCACTGTCATCCGAGGGCGACCACAGCGACGACCTCGATCTCTGCGAGGCCGTCCACTATCACTCGGCGGACTCTACCCTCCCTGCAGCTGAGCGCCTTCAGCTCGCGCTCTCTGCCCTCTCTCGGGCACGCAGCCGCCCTGGTCACGCTGGCGCATCGCCCCCCGAGGTCCCTCAGGAGGACCTCCCTCAGGGCTTCGTCCCTCCTCGTGGTGTCCTTTCCCCTGAGGAGCGCGCGGCTATTCAGGGATGGCGTGGGTGTTTGCGCTGCCGCTTGGACGGTCATACCTCCTCACGGTGCCCTTACACTACGGCCCTCGACCGCCACTATGCTGACCTTTCTCGTCAGCGTCGTGCTCAGTCCCCCCCCGGTGCCTCACGTCCCCGCGGCCCCTCCTAGCCATGGTGCAGTGTACACCTGCGCCCTCCTAAGTAGTGAGCTTCCCGACATCTCCGTCGCGGTTCGCCCCTCTCGCTACTGGAGTTGAGGTATCGCATGACTCGACAGAGTGTACTCCGCCCTCTTTCGCAGTACCGTCTGCGCCTCCGCAGACCACCGTCTCCCCTCCTTCCCCGCCGCGACTACCGACGCGTCGAGCCATTCGCTCAACCCGTTGCAGCGAGCAGCTCGCTACTCGCGAGGACGTTGTGTCCTCTCTTCTGGATTTGAGCATGCTCCAGGCTCGTCAGGAGCGACTCACCCTCCATGTCGCTGCACTGCGTCGCCTTCTCGCCATCCTCTCTGACCCTGATCGCACCCTCCCGATCACCCCGTACGACTCGGGACCTCCACGAGGGTGTACTCAGCGCTGTGGGATTCCGGTTCTCAGGGCGACTTCATTCACCCACGTGTGGTGAAGGAAGCCCGCTTACCCACGACAGGGTCTCCGACTCCCATCTCCGTTACCCTAGGGGATGATAAGACCCAGCGCTTCTTCGATCAGACGGTCACCGACCTCCCCTTCTTCCTCACTCTCGAGCCGACTGATCGTTCCCCGGCGTCTCGTCGCCACCGCTCCTCTGCACATTTCGATGTGATGGAGACGGGGTACGACTTCATTCTCGGCACTCCGTGGTCTCGTCGGTTCCGCAGCACCGAGGCCGATTGGGCGACCAACACTCTCGTTCTCAAAACGAAGTGTGGACAGACGTATCGCGTACCTTTCATAGGTACCACGGAGACACCACACCCCGATCCTCCTCCCCTGGAGCCTTCAGTGCCCACACCATCTCCCTTTATCACTGTCACCTCACCTCGGCAGTTCGCTCACTTCATTCGAGAGGACGACGTCACCTTCTTTATGGTGGACGTGACGGATCTCTTACACTATGATCCACCCTGCCCCGACGCCGAGCTCATCCCTCTGGAGCTTGATCCTCCCTCTATCTCCATGGCTCCCATCTCTAGTTCCGTCCCTGCGCCGTCTGTCGAGTCCACCCCGCCGTCGCGCGCTGACGCTGACGCTGAGGAACTCGCACGATATACGGCTGACTTGGAGCCCGCAGTTTGTGACCTCATCCGCGAGTACCATGACGTTTTCCCATCGTCGTTCTTGTACGCTGGCATCCAACCGATGCGCGACGTCGAGCACTCCATTCAGCTCGTGCCTGGCTATCGTGTTCACCACCAGGCACCCTGCAGACTCTCGATACCCGAGGCCACCGAACTCAAGCGTCAGCTTGAGGAGCTCCTGAGAGTGGGTTTCATTAAACCCCGCAACTCCCCGTGGGGTGCACCCGTCCTCTTTGCTCGCAAAGCGGATGGAACTCTTCGTCTCTGCATCTACTACCGCGGCCTCAACCGCTACACGGTTAAGAACAGCTACCCCATGCCTCGTTCCGATGAGTTGTTCGACCGCCTAGCAGGCAACCGCTTCTTTACGAAGATTGACCTTCGTAGCGGTTACCATCAGATCCGCGTTGCTGCAGCCGACCAGCCGAAGACCGCGTTCCGATCGCGAATCAGCCACTACAAGTTCACGGTGATGCCGTTCGGCCTCACCAACGCACCCGCTACCTTCCAGAGGGCGATGAACGACATCTTTAGGGACATCCTGGAGCAGTACGTTCTCGTCTACCTCGACGATATCTTGGTCTATAGTCGTACCCTTGAGGAGCATCTCAGACACCTCCGCGACGTCCTTGATCGCTTGCGCAAACATGGCTTCTACGCCAAGCTAAGCAAGTGCCGCTTTGCCCAGCACAAAGTGGATTTCTTAGGACACTACGTGTCTGACCAGGGTCTCCACATGGACGACGCGAAGATCACTGCTATTGCGGAGTGGCCCGCTCCCACATCCGCCAAGCAGCTTCGCAGCCTCCTAGGCCTGACCAGCTACTATAGTAACTTCATCCGGGGATACGCTAGGTATTCCTACGTCCTTACCTCCACCCTCCTCCGGAAGAACCCACCCTGGGCTTGGACACCCCTCCACAAGGACGCCTTCCGCGCCCTCAAGAAGGCGGTGACATGCGCACCGGTTCTTCACCTACCCGATTTTGATCGCCCTTTTATCCTTACCACTGATGCGTCAGACTTTGTTGTAGGAGCAGTGCTTTCTCATGTCTTCCCCTCCTCTCCTGATTCCTCTCATCCTCGTATCCCTCACTTCCCACCACCTACCCCTACTACTGCTTCCCGACTGCCGCCTACTCGTCCAACTACTGACGAGCCCTCTATTGACTATTCTCCTACCATCGCCGAGGACGGCACTGTCGAGTCTCGCTCAGGTGATTGTCCGATAGCCTTCTACTCCCGTCAGCTCCTGCCCGCCGAGATAAACTAAACTGCTGATGAACGTGAGGTTCTCGCAGTAGTTTATGCCGCTCGGCACTGTCGTCACTACCTGCACGCGGCACCATTCACGGTGCGCACGGACAACTCTGTTCTCCAGGCTTTTATGACAAAGACGAAGCTCACTCCTCGACAAGCTCGCTGGTGGCGCGACCTATCCGAGCTTAGTTTCACCACTGAGCACATCAAGGGTGAGACTAATCGGGTCGCTGATGCCCTATCCCGGCGCCCTGACCACGACCAGGAGCACATCCAGCTCTCTTCCATCTCGGTCACCACCGTCCACCACTCGGTGATCGACGAGTTTCGCACTCAGTACCGCCACTGCCCCGACTATCGCGACATCCACGCGACCCTTCGGAGTGGCAAGACCGTCCCGAACTACTCTCTCGGGGACAACGGTCTCGTGTACTGGCACGGTTCACAGGGCACCTGAGAGCCCCGTATTTGTGTTCCCTCCACTGAACAGCTACGTGTCCGAGCAGTAGCAGAGTTCCATGACCAGACAGCTGCCGGTAATATAGGCTTCCACAGGACGTTGGCTCGTGTGAGCCGCCTGTACGTCTGGCTGAAGCGCAAGGACTTTGTGAAGGACTACGTCGCAGAGTGTCCCACCTGCCAGGAGGTGAACAGTGCGAACCACCTACCTTATGGTTTACTCCAGCCTCTTCCTATCCCTGAGGGTCGTTGGCAGTCCATCTCGATGGACTTTATCAGTCCTCTTCGACCTCCGACCCCCCGCGGTCATGATGCTATCCTGGTCGTCGTCGACCGCTTCACGAAGCGTGCACGCTTTGTTCCGTGCCGCTATGCCATCAGTGCACGTGAGGTCACCGACATCGTATTTGACCGNGCAGTAGCAGAGTTCCATGACCAGGCAGTCGCCGGTCATATGGGCTTCCACAAGACGTTGGCTCGTGTGAGCCGCCTGTACGTCTGGCCGAAGCGCAAGGACTTTGTGAAGGACTACGTCGCAGAGTGTCCCACCTGTCATGAGGTGAACAGTGCGAACCACCTACCTTATGGTTTGCTCCAGCCTCTTCCTATCCCTGAGGGTCGTTGGCAGTCCATCTCGATGGACTTTATCGGTCCTCTTCGACCTCCGACCCCCCGCGGTTATGATGCTATCTTGGTCGTCGTCGAGCGCTTCACAAAGTGTGCACGCTTTGTTCCGTGCCGCTATGCCATCAGTGCACGTGAGGTCGCCGACATCGTATTTGACCGAGTCGTGCGTGACCACGGCTTACCTCTGAGCATCATATCTGACCGTGACCCGCGCTTTACCAGCCGATTCTGGCGACAGCTCCACGAGGTGTACGGCACTCAGCTCCGCTTCTCCTCGTCTTACCATCCTCAGACTGATGGTCACACCGAGATCATGAACAGGACTCTCGGAGATATTCTCCGAAAGATTGTTCGTGACGACCAGCAGTGGGACCTCCATCTTGCCCACGCGGAGATAGCCTACAACCACGCCGTCTCGCCAGCCACGGGGATGTTGCCTTACTATTGCGACCTCGGCTATCACCCTCGTGTTCGTGTGGACTTCCTTCGACCATCACAAATGCACCCCGACACGAACTGTCCCGCACTGGATGATTGGGTTGCACACATGACATCGATCATGAAGACCACGCATGAGCACATAGCCGCTTCCCAGACTCGCATGGCAGTACGTGCGAACCGATCGAGGATGGACCACCCATTCAAAGTCGGTCATGACTTGTTTATCGATGCCCGCCACGTACAGCTCGAAGCGGACACGCTTCGCAAGTTTAGGCGTCGCTTCTTTGGCCCATGCCGCATCCTCAAGGCCGTAAGTTGTGACACGTCATCTAGCCCGGTCAGCTTCCGTGTGAAGCTGCCCGACTACCTACGCCAGGCTCGTGTGCACGATGTTTACCATGTCTCGTTACTGCGTCCTTACCACAGACCGTCTGAGCGTTTCGCTGGACGCCTATACGAGCGCCCTCCACCCATCATGGTGGATGGCCACGAGGAGTTCCTCGTTTCAGACATCATTGGTCGCCGAGTCACCGACGACAACCCTCCCCACGTCGAGTTTCTCGTACGTTGGAAGGGTTACCCTGATGAGGAGGCTACCTGGAAGCCCCTCGAGCACTTGCAGCACGCTCTCATGTTGGTGCGTGCCTATGACCGTGCTCGTCGTGCTGGGTTCACTGCTCCTCCTCAGCCCGCTGACCCTCCTCCTTCTCCCCCGGCTGAGGAGACCGCTGAAGTCGAGCCTGCTCCATCTGAGGCAGACCTTCAGCAACAGCCGGATGCTTCTGAGCGTCCACAGCGCACTCGTCGTCGTCCTGCTCGATACGACGATTGACTCTGACTTACCTTCCCATGTCCTTGACTTCTCAGTACTCCATCCACTCCAGGCTTGCTACTTCAGCTCGTCGACGTTACGACTCTTCCTCGACGATATTCCGGACTTCTCATCGTGGACGTCATCGGCAGCTTCTTGGACTTCGTCACGATCAGCTCTGCCTACTTTAGACGTCGCCACTCTCTTACCACTTTACCCTGTACAGTACCCTTCTTGTGTCGCATGATGGTCTCCCTTTAGCCGGGTTCCTCTGAGTTGGGTTCTCCCTTGGTATACGCATAGGCATCGGGACCGTAGCGTTGCCCTGGCTTCCCATCTTACGGATCTAGCTCCGACTTCCCCACCATAGGAGTCATCTGCATGATTCCCTTACCCATCACCTTCCTACCCTCTGCCGGCCTTCACGCCCTAGTTAGGCAGCCCCGCATGCTTCATCTAGGTGCGCCCAGTATACCAGACTCCGTTGTTCCCGTGCATGGTCGACCCTCCATAGCGGTCACCCCTTAGCCGAGCTTTACCCGCCCTGATGGTCTATCTGTTAGGGTCATTGGTTCTGTTTGCTCCCAGTTCCCTACCCTCATTGAGCCTGATGACATGTGTCTCCCTGTTATCKATGTGTGGATGCCCKTAGGAGTTTTCGACCYCYAGGCTGCATTCGCCACCCTCAGAGACCATCCCACCCTTTGGTTTGCGACACACCCCTCCTGTGACATATGGTTGACTTGTTGTTGCTTGTTGCTCTCAGACTGAGGCTACTGCCTCTGACGTTTCTAGGATTTAGTTGTTCTGCTTTTGTTGTTCTTAGGACTTATACACTAGTGAGCTATTACCAGACTGAGGCTAGTGCTTCCAACATTCTAGGATCTAGTTGTCACTACTTCCTGCTTTCCTAGGACATGTATGCTAGTTAGTTGCTTTGCTTTCCTTTAACATGTATGCTAGTTAGTTGCTTCTGCTTTTACTTAGGCTGTTAGCTGTGACATTGCTGTTTTGTGACATTTTCTAGCCTAGGTTGCATCGCATGGACTCAGCATGGAGCCTGCTCCGCATCCTAGACTACTCAGGTTTTCTTTCTTTGGTAGAGTTCCGCTTCTTGGCGGAAGCATGTTTGTATCTAGGCGATCCATCACAGGTCGAGGATCATGTAGCGGACCTCGGGTTGGCCTGTGAGACCAGCCCCTTGGCCTGTTCTCACAGGCCTGTGTTGTATTCGGGGTAGGCTAGTTCAGGCCGGTACCTCTGTCGGTACCAGCCAGTCCAGTCCAGTCTCGTCAGTCCGCTGGGGTATACCCCAGCCATTGTCTGTTTTCACGCGCATTCTTCACTTGCACATTTTGGAGTACGTGCGTTGGAGTCTTGCATGGGGAGCTGCGTTGTGCCATCTCGCTCCCCCCCCTTCTTCCTCCATATCCATCTCTGTCACTAGCGGAGCACCACACCTGGTGGGTCCGCTACAGCCATCGACCAGCGAATAGCGAGCTGCTTTGCCCGTAATTGTAGCCATATATAGTGAAGGTACTGGTACGTAATTGCTATTCTCTCTCTCTCTCTCTCTCTCTCTCTCTCTCTCTCTCTCTCTCTCTCTCTCTCTCTCTCTCTCTCCCCTCCCTTCCCCCTGAACGCTTTGCGATCCCGGCGAATCACAAGCTCATCCGGCCATAATTGCTGCCAGATACATTTCTGGCAACAAATCTTTCATACCGAAAATGCCTCTCTCCCGCCCTCCAAACGGTGAACGCTTTGCCATCGACCGACGAATCGTGAGCTCGTCCGAGTGTAAATGTGGCCAGATACATTTCTGGCGACAAATCTTCCTTGCAGAGAATGCTGGGAGTGAGAGAGAGACAGATCTACGAAATAGGACGCGCCCCGACAAAGTAATAGGAAAGCAGTGACTCAAAAAAAATAAAAAAACTATGTCAATCAATTCAATTACCTGCCGAAAGCAGCAATTCGCAAATACGTTGGGCTTCGATACGACCATGATTGCAGCCAGATTGATTGATTTATTAGTTGTGTGTGTGTGTGTGTGTGTGTGTGTGTGTGTGTGTGTGTGTGTGAGAGAGAGAGAGAGAGAGAGAGAGAG